ATTTATTAGGAACTCGTTATAGTTTTGTTTTCATTACTAAGGAATTTCGAATCATTATACAGATATCTTTTCTACCGAATGATTGAAAATCGAATATTACTTGTCAACAACACAAACAAATATGTCGTTATTAAAAGATATTTTTCAAAATGGCAATTTCTAGAGACTCCTTTCTTATTTTACGTTTTGCCTATTATTCAATAGAAATTGGGAATTGTTAAAAGACATTATCCAAACAATACAGGAGGACACGTGCAGATAGACATTTTCCTGTAACAGCAGAGCAAATCACTCACGAAACCAAATCATACAAATGTTGGTTTGTTTATCGCAACTATAAGTAGGAAAATAATTCAAGTCGTCAAAGAACCAACTTTAAATACCAATAGAAAGTTTATCTCGTGAGTATGAACCACTATTTTTAATATCTTTCTAATATCAAATTGTTGACAGATATTGATAATGTCATTTCGAAGAATGGTATGTAATTTGACAATCAGAATTATTAGAACCTAATCATCATACACTGTAACAAAGCAACTTATGAAAACTCTAAAACGAAATTCATTGAGAGAAAGTTCTGGCCACTGATACTTCATGTTATTCTCGAAAAATATCATATAGGTCTGGTTAACCTTAGAATCGACAATAATATAAATTAGCATGTCTTACCATACAGAAAGAAACACGTGCTATTTTTCAGAGTTGAGAAGAGAGCAGTGGGTATTTTTACGATCTGATCAAACATTACATGCAATTTGCATTTAGTCTTTCCGTATCGATACTTTATACGTCGGCCGAAACGAAGATATACTTTACGAAAAAAACCTCTCTTTTAGTTTGGATAAAAGAAACAACTTTCAGAAGAGATATGAGCAAGTTCTCTTTTTCGACCAGCCACATTGCGTGCACCCTAATCTCAATTATATTCAATTAGATCGCTATTGTTAATATTTAGTCTTCACTTTGTTAATATCACGAGAATTATCAATATCGTTCCTTCTCTATGAACGCATCATTTTGTCTAAAAAATTTTCTTTATTTTCCCTAATCCGCCAAAATGTTATGCATGATTCCCATCATTTTTCCTATATGTATCTTTTCAGTGAAGCCCTACCTTTTTATATAATCTAAATGCGAAATATGATTTTTCATTTTTTATAACTGTTTATGATTCGAGCAAATGTTCCGAAAGATATGCATTTCTATATAGAAAGATACATGTTCATCGAATGCTTCTATTGACTCATATAAGCAAAGTGAACATTTAACATGGAATAAAACACTCGTTTCGTTCTCTATAAATTGCTCTATGCATATAGTTTTCACGACCCCCTGAAAAATAAAGTATACTTTATCAAGTGATTTCTTATCTAACAGCTGCATGAAGTTATCCTATCGATTCTATTCTTTATATTAAAGAAAACATTATTTTCATGTTTTCGTTTTCTTTATGTATATAAACATAAAATGTGTCAGAAATGATACGAACACGTGCTCATTCTCAATCAATAGCTCCATATTAATGACTTCAAGAACAGAATAAAAGTGAGTATGATTTTTGATTCGACTTCAAGTCTTTCATATCGAGAATATTAACCAAATTTCTAGATAAAGTGAATCGTGTTCATATGATCATATTATTCTTCAACATACATAAACAAGCCTTCGGAAACTAGAATGAACAGCTAGTCGTTCTCTACGAAATGCGTCATGTCGATGTTTGCTTCAACCATTTGAAATTTAGGTATGCTATTTTATTTTATTTCGCTTTTTTGCTGTTTAAGAAAATTATCTGATATAATTTTTCCTCCAGGGAACGATTTTTCTTCATTTAATCATTTTATTTATCTAGAGAAACAAGCAGAACTTTGCAATTTCTACGAACAGGTGTCCATTGAAAAATCAATTGCTTTACGTCGTTGGTTTTGTCTAATTTCTACAAGTTAAGAGTGACGTTTCTTTTGTTTTTGTTTGTTTCATATCGAGAAAACTATCTGAATGATTTGTTTTTAGATGAAATAATTCATCTTCATCTGATCATGTTTTCCCTCTAAATAATCAAGTGGACTTCTAAAAAGTGGTGCAAACAGAGGCTCATTTTTAACCAAATGTTTCACATCAATGGTGTCTCTAAGCGAATGAAATTTAAGTATGACGGCTCACTTGATTTCGTTTCTTCTATGTCGAGAAAATTATCCGACCTATTATTTTCTATACAAAAAGATTTGGTTTTACATAATCGTTTTATCTTTCTAGATAAACAAGAGGCACTTTAGAAAATGTTAAGAACATGGATTTATTCTCAATCCATTGGTCCACGTCAATGGTTTAATCGGCCCACTTAAAGTTACGTATCAGTATTCATTTTATTTTCGTTCTTCACATGTGCAGAGAATTATGTGAAGATTTTTTGTACATTAAAGGTTTTATTTTCATTTAATCGTTCTATCTATTTAGATAAATAAGCGAACGTATGGAAACTGGTATGAATATGTGCTCATTACCAATAAATTACTTCAAGTCAAAGATTTATCCGACCCACTAGAAGTTAAGTATGATGTTTCCTTTCATCTCGTTTCATTCCTATAAAAAAAATAAGTGGAAGGTTGTGTTCCTATGTGAAAAGATTCCTTCATATATTAATTTTATCTATCGATTCAAAGAAGGTGAACTTTGTAAATCATCACGAAAACATTCACATTCACAATTTACCGACAAACATCAGTGCTTTCTCTAATCGGTTGAAGGCGAAGCGTCAGTTCTTTTATGAGATTGTGTTTGTTTAGGGTGATGGAGTTTTTTCCGTTTGATTCAAATAGATTAGTAAACAAAACTGTGTAAAATTTTGACCAACTTGTGGTAGTTTACAGTTGATGACTGCAGAAGGATACTACTTGTTTTCAACCAGAATAAGATGATTATATTTTTTTCTAATTGAGTTGGCTTTTTTTAGAGAAGCTATAAACTATTTCGTAAGGTGCTGACGTTATTTTTTATACAAGGCATTGATCGGGGCGAAGGAGAGAAAGAAACAATGAATTGGATGGGTTCTGTGTATTTTTTTTTTGATGATAAGTAGCCGTCGTATCAGTGAGGGGAATGTTCCTACTAAAGTTTCCCAACGAATGAGCAGTAGCATTATGTAGTTGAAAATAGCATTTCATGTGTAAGATTTAAGTTTCGATGAAAGTGCACACCCTTTATATATTCAGATGAGATACTTGATAACTTGAGTGCTTTATAATATGTTTATTAATATTCGCTTCTTCCTCACTTTTTAATAATTTTTCTTTTAGGTCTTTGGATGTGATCTCTTTTATCAATTAATGGAATTACGATCATGTATTCAATAGAAAAGTTTCGCATATGGGTGAGTGGCAGCTACTTTGAACTTTCAGATGCGTTTCATAATGCATGTCAGTGATTGTTGTTAATTGGTAGCTGCAATGTACTGATTTCTAGTAAGTTTTCAATTTAATCAGAGTTTTTTTAAGAAAAAAGTGTCATCTATTAATAACTCACGCTTTTATGTTTAGATTTCATCGAACAAAGTCTTTAAAGCAAATACAGAAGGTGCTGAATTACAAATGCTATTTTGAATTGAAGTGAGTAAAAGTTTTCGTGTGACATCAGAGAGAATTCATCTGAAGTAACCACTTAAAATCATTCCTCCAGGTTACGCACTCAGTTTTATGTTAATTTAGCTATCCTGTTTTTATTGATTAGTCGCTCCTAGAAAGAGGCCCGTACAATTTCTTTTAATCATCTTGATTTCGACTCTAGATCGAATTATCTTCAGATTTTCTAGTTTCGCTTGTTTCTCAGTTAGGGAGTATTGGATTCTAATACAAGATTGAGTAAGAGTTTTGACAAGTATGAAGCTCAAAACGAACAGAAAATAACAGATATGGTTTCTTCCAGTCTAGGGCAGTCTAGCATCCTCTTGTTAATTATTATGAAATGCCATAGATAGCGAGTGTCAGATACATATAATTATAAAAACTACAAATTATTCACCACATCTCTCTTCGTAGACATTTGTCTATCATCGACCAAGGTGAAAAAACAAAGTATTCAGTTATTCTCGGATCCCTGGAAGTAGTTCATTGTACTCTTGAATCACTCTATTTATCCTAATATTCTCCCTGAAAACGATACTAGAGGTCCACCATCGCCTTCATAAACCTTACCATAAACCCTTGAGGTAGTTTATGGGGTTAACAATCGGTTCCATAAACCTTATCATAAACCCTTGGGGCGGTTGATGATGTCCATAAACGCTTTTCAATTGCGTTTCTGAGGCGGGCTCATGGGTATAGTATTTTAATCAACCCTTTTCAGGGATTTATGAAAGTGCAACGTGTCACAATCCATTTAAGGATTTATGAATCTGATCAACCCTTCAATAAACCTTCCAGAAAGAATATTTAACGTTAATAAACTCTGCATTAAACCCTTTTTAGAGGGTTTATAGCAGGACTCATGACTCGTTGATAAACGGTTAAAAAGGGTTTGCTACACGTTGCACTTTCATAAACCCTTTTTTCATTTTTTATGCTACGTTTTTTTTACAGTGTTCAAGCTATTTGATTGTGTTTAGAAATTCATATCAGATAAGAGATGCTTGAACTAGAGTCCTGCAAACGTACCCGGAACCGGAGCCGGATCCGATCGGGTCCGGCTCAGAAAATTTACTTTGATCGGGTCCGGGTTCTGGTTCAGATTCAGTTTCGGGTCCAAAGGAATATATTATATATATATATGTATATAAATATTTTTGAAGTTAAATATAATCTACATTTATTCAAAAAGTAATGTTTAATTTATGCATATAAAAATATTAGAAAACAACAAAAATGTCTTCCAGATTAAAATATAAAAACCTGACTAACATTATAAATCTATTGTTCAAATAATGGTTCATCTGATTCAATACTATTATCAGTGAGATCATCAATATCACTCGAAGAATAATCACTGTCACTATTTTGTTTTATTCATTTAGTCATTGTAGATGATACAGAATTGTTTTTGCCTTCAATAAGTAAATCTTGTTCATCATTAGTTGTCGATATTTTTCTTTTTAATTGTTCCTTGTTTTTAATTGATGCATCTTTATCTATTCGTTGTAAAGAAAGAAGATTTTTTTGAAGAAACAGCAATTCATTACCGTTTTTCCCGTTTAAACTAGTTCGTCGATCTGTAACAGTATTTTTTGATGATGAGAATAACCTTTCAACTGTTGTGTTTGAAGCTGGTATTGCAAATAAATCACGTACCATCGATGATAATATTGGAAATAATTCGGTATTTTCTTTCCAAAACAATAGTACATTATCATTTTCACGAAGTTGTATATCTGATGACATGTAATTATCTAATTCACTTGTTGGTGTTAAAACTGGTTTTGGAATTAATGGTCGTTGATCAAAACAACGAGTTAATAAATAATTAGAAGTAATTAGTTTTGATTTATCAATCATAATTAATGGATTCGTAGCTACTCCTTCATGATCAGTAGCAGTAATATTGTTTGATAATGGTAATGAACGTTTTAATAATTCCTGTCTTACTAATGCAATGGCTTTAGATTTTTCATTCGGAGCTATTTCAAAACGCTTCAACGAAGGATGAAGTAGTGTACACATATAATGTTGATCTTGAACAGTCCAGACAGATTTAATACGTTCCCCTTAAAATATTAAAAAAGAAATAGAATCAAATTCTTGATTAACATCTCTTTTGGGTCTTCAGAAAGATAAAGTAGACGTCTTTGGAAAGAAATTTCTATAGATAACTATTCGGTTATCCAAAATAATATCAAGAATAAAAGCTTACAAGATAGTATTCGCGCTAAGACAATGCTTACTTACCAACGAAACATTTTAATTGTTTAAGTTCACCACTATCTTCATATTTTAAATCACAATGATTAAGTAATAACTGTCGAATAGAAATAACTTTGTGCATAGTTGGTTTTTCTTCTTCACTTAGTTCATCAATAGCTTGATCAAAAAATTTAAGGAAAGCACATAATTCCTCTAATAATTCTTTATCGATTGCCGCTAAATTTGCCATAAACGCATTGTTTATAACACCAGTTANTAATATTCGTGTTTCGTTTCTTTCATCTTGTGTTTTCCTGTTTCTGTTTCTCGAGTCAATAAAACACATTATTGACCTTGACCGCTCTATTTCTATTACGTAATTCGTAATACGTGACAATTTGGCGACGAGAGTGAGATAATAATAAAAAAAAAATTTTTTTGACCATAAAAAAAAAATCATGCCTACTAATCGTTCTACGGTTGAACAACCTGCACGTTCAAACGCATACCGTCCTCACGAATTCGATCCAACATCTTGTGATTGGGATGATTGGGAGATCTTATTCGACACTTTTATCGATGTAGAAGGCATCACAGATGATAACAAGAAACGAAATCTTCTTATTACAGCACTTGGTGTCCAACCTTTTAAAACACTTATATCTGTTTGTAAACCAAAAAAACCTAATGAATGCTCATATCAAGAAATTATACAAAAACTTCGTATAAATTATGCCCGTGTTACATTTTCGTCGACGGAACGAATTAAGTTTTTTGCAACACGGCAAGATTCATCACAGACACTTACTGATTTTGCAAATTCTCTTCGAGACAAAACAGTAACCTGTAAGTTTCCGAATGATTTCTACGAAAATGCTTTAATTACAGCATTTGTTGGTGGTTTGAAAAATGATCATGTACGTAAACACTTAATGCAACAAAATTTAGAAACATTTGAACAAACACTGAATGCAGCTCGCATATTTGAATCAGTCCTTATTCAAGGTTCGAATGATAGAAATGATGTATCAGATGAACTAGCTGTTATGAAAATACAAAAACAACATAAACATGCTAAGAACGTCCATCATAAAATGGTTTGTTCAAGCTGTGGTTCTCCGGATCATCTACGATCACAATGTCGTTTTCGTCATGTTACCTGTCATAAGTGTAATAAAGAAGGGCACATTTCCAAAGTTTGTCGTTCACACACAAATACAAACCACAATAAGATTAATACAATTGCTTCGGTTACATATGAACAAATTAAAGAACATCCAATACATGTTCCTATTAAAATTGATGGATTTAATGTTCTATTTGATTTAGATACAGGTTCTCCTATCACTGTCATTGATAAAAATATATGGATACAGATGGGAAAACCAATCTTAAAACCGATTAAATCAGTCTATAATAGTTTTTCAGGTCATGCTATTCCTCTGAAAGGGGAGAAAATCGTTAAAGTAAATTACAATGACCAGGAACTTGATTTACAACTTATAGTTGGTAATGAAAATTGTAACAATATTCTAGGTCGTAATTGGATTAATGCGTTGCATTTAAATGAAACAACATTAGATGAACTTATTAATAATAATAAAGTTCTTAATGTTAATTCGAAAATTACCAATTTAAAACATCTTATACATACTTATAATGATATTTTTAAAGAAGGTTTAGGATGCTGTAAGATGAAAGCACATCTTTATGTTAAATCAGGTGTTATACCAAAATTTCATAAGCCAAGGTCTTTACCGTTTGCTTATCGACAAGTTGTTGAAACAAATTTAAATCGACTTGTACATGAAGGTGTATTAACATCAGTTAATGTTGCTAAATGGGCAGCACCTATTGTTATAGTACCGAAACCGAATGGTAAAGTGCGTATATGTGCTGATTTCAGTACAGGTGTTAATCAGTCATTAGACATTGATCAATATCCTCTCCCGAAACCAAATGATTTATTTGTAGTACTCAATGGTGGTACTAAATTTAGTAAAATTGATTTTTCTGAAGCATACTTACAAGTTGAATTAGATGAAGAAAGTAAAGAATTAGTGATTATTAATACTCATAAAGGTTTATTTAAATTTAATCGTTTACCGTTTGGTATCGCTTCTGCACCAAGTATTTTCCAAAAGATTATGGATCAAATGTTATCGGGTCTGGAAGGAACAGTTTGTTATTTAGATGATATCATCGTAACCGGGAAGACCGAAATCGAACATTTAAATAATTTGAATAAAGTATTTTCAAGAATTAAAGAATATGGTTTTCACATAAACCAAGGTAAATGTTCTTTTCTACAAAATTCTGTAGAATATTTAGGATTTGTTATTGATAAATTTGGTATTCATACGTCACCATCAAAAATAAAAGCAATCGTTAATATGCCCAAACCAACTAATGTATCGCAATTACGCTCATTTCTGGGTATGGTTACTCATTATGCAAAGTTTATTCCAAGATTAACAGATCGATTACTACCTTTTTACTCGCTATTAAAAAAGGACACATCTTGGCAATGGACTTCAACTTGTGATAAAGCGTTTAAAAGTATAAAACGACTTCTTACTTCTCCACTTGCATTGACACATTATGATCCGTCACTCCCATTAATTTTGGCAGCGGATGCATCGAATGCAGGTGTTGGAGCGGTTATTTACCATCGTTTTCCTGATGGTACGGAAAAAGCCATTGCTCATGCTTCTAAAACTCTTACATCAACAGAAACTAAATATGCACAAATTGAAAAAGAAGCTCTTGCTATCATTTATGGTGTTCAAAAATTTGATCAATTTTTACGAGGTCGACAATTTACACTTCTAACGGATCATAAGCCACTACTGACAATTTTTGGACCTAAAAAAGGTATTCCTACTACGTCAGCTAATCGTCTTCAACGTTGGGCCATTAGATTGATGGGTTATACATATAAAATTGAATATTGTTCAACAAATCATTTTGGTCAAGCTGATGGACTTTCTCGATTACCTGTCGGGCCAGATGTTAGTTTTGATAACCTAGATCCAGGTGCAGTTCGACTTGTTGCTACTATTCAAGAAGAAATTCAAAAGGAATTACCTCTTCGTGCTTCACATATTGCTAAAACTACTCGAAAAGATTTAATTCTTCAACAAGTTTATCATTATATACTTTCGGGTTGGCCGACACTATCTCCTGAAAAGTTGGAATCTTATTTTAGAATTCGTAATGAGCTCTCTACATCACATGGATGTATTACTTGGGGTATAAGAACAATCATTCCAACATGTTTTAGAACTCGTCTTTTAAATCATCTCCATTCTACACATTCTGGTATGGGGAAAATGAAGGCAGAAGCTAGACGTTATTTTTGGTGGCCTTCACTTGATAAAGATATTGAAGATCTTGTTCATCAATGTAAAATTTGTTCTGAAATCGCTAAACAACCAGCGAAAGCTCCATTACAACAATGGAACGTTCCTAATGAACCATGGAAACGAATTCATATTGACTTCATGGGAAAATTTTTGGGTTCTTATTTTCTTATTGTTGTTGACGCTCATTCGAAATGGTTAGAAGTTTTTATGATGAATGATATATCAACATTATCAACAATTAGTAATTTAAAAACTTTATTTGCTCGATACGGATTATGTGAAGAAATTATCTCTGATAACGGGACTCAATTTACATCTAATGAGTTTACTGAATTTTGTGCTCGTAATGGAATACGACATATTTGTACATCGCCTGGTCATCCTCAGTCAAATGGACAAGCAGAGCGTTACGTTGACATTGTTAAAACTGCTCTTAAAAAAGGATTTCATAAAGGATGAAAACTAGCTGATGTTCTTTCTAAATTTTTGTTTTGCCATAGATCAATTCCTCATTCAACAACAAATATAAGTCCAGCCGAATTATTTTTAAAACGTCGGCTTAGAACTGTATTGGACCTATTACATCCTAATGCAATGGATGCATCTAGTGTTACAAGACAACGTTATAAATTAAACTTTGATCGTCATTCTAAACAACGTCATTTTAAAATAGACGACAAAGTGTTAGTTCGTGATTTTAGAAAAAATCCAAGGGAAGTGGAATGGACATCAGGTGTACTTATTAATCGTATAGGTTCTCGTCTTTGGTCTGTAAAAGTTAGAAAACAAATATGGCGTCGTCATGAAAATCAAATTAGACAGCGGTATTGGTCTACTGATGACGATCTTATAGTTACGCATAAAACAACTGAATCAGCTGATTGTGATGACGATTCATCATCATTTTCTCCACCTGATCAACAGTCGAAAGTTTTACGACGTTCATCACGTACTAGAAAACCAGTACATCGTTTGATCGAACAAATTTAAAACGGAGGAGTGTGATATAGTAACATATATTACATTATATGTGTTAGTTTTGTTTTCTGTTCTTTGAATTCCTTTCGACTGAGTCATCATATCTATATTCATATATATATATGTGTTCTCTTCTAAAGGAATCTAGTTTAATATTCGTGTTTCGTTTCTTTCATCTTGTGTTTTCCTGTTTCTGTTTCTCGAGTCAATAAAACACATTATTGACCTTGACCGCTCTATTTCTATTACGTAATTCGTAATACGTGACAATAACTATTCGGTTATTCAAAATAATATCAAGAATAAAAGTTTACAAGATAGTGTTCGCGCTAAGACAACGCTTACTTACCAACGAAACATTTTAATTCTATACGTTCACCGCTATCTTCATATTTTAAATCACAATAATTAAGTAATAACTGTCGAATAGGAATAACTTTGTGCATAGTTGGTTTTTCTTCTTCACTTAATTCATCAATAGCTTCATCAAAAAGTTTAAGGAAAGCACATAATTCCTCTAATAATTCTCTATCGATTGCCGCTAAATTTGCCATAAACGCATTGTTTATAACACCAGTTAATTCATCATAAACATCAAGGAATACCTCCAACATATAAAATGCTCCATTAAAGCGAGTATCAGAATATATTTGTAATTTTCTTTTGAGTTTGATCTAACGATGAGATCGACGTACATGTGTTACTATCTTCTTAACATGCTCAAACAGACTTTGACCTTTATCGCAATTAACTCGTCGCTTATCCACTTCTTGGGATGTAAAACAATACTCTAGTTGTTTATTCAAGAAATGAATAGAACAACCTATGCGAGCTGCATTTTTCTTTAAATGCAGCTCGCATTTTGTTTTCGTTGTTCGAAACTACGAAAATTGATTCATTTAATGTTAATTCATACGATTTTAATTGTGAATCAACAAATGGACGAACACTATGAGCTGATTGTGATTGTGTATCATATAAAATACAGCCGCCCAGGTCGACTGATCCGATAGGAACCTGGAAATACCCTACAATCCGATACAATTCTATTGGATTCCGGGCAGAGATGGGCAAGTCAAGTCATTTTTGACTTAAAACCAGTCAAGTCAAGTCATTTTTGACTTGACTCTGACTTGACTAGGAAATTTTAAAAAATAACTTGACTTGACTCTGACTTGACTTGGAAATTTTAAAAAATAACTTGACTTGACTTGAAATTATTTTGAACAAGTCTTGACTTGACTTGACTTGACTTGAAATTATTTTGAGTAAGTCATGACTTGACTTGACTTGACTTGAAATTTTCAAAAATGACTTGACTTGACTTGCGACTTGGTCTTAAAAAACAAGTCAAGTCAAGTCAAAAACCGTATAGACATATAGGTGCTTATGCACTGAAGTTTTGGTTTCCAATTTGTAATAAAGCAATAAAATACAATCAAAAAATGCAAAAATATTGTCGCGGAGTGAATTTACCTTGGAATAAAATGAAGGATTTCGGATCTGCTGAAATCATTTTTTATTTTTATTGGTCATCTCACTTCCCAATAATTTTTAATGAAAATAAAATATGTTGATTTCTTTGTTTTACAATAACTGAGACGAGGATTAATTTAGTAGCATAAAGTTAAATTTTAATATGGAATCAGGAAACAACTCTTTCAAGAATTTGTACTCATCTACAAACGAAGTTCAAATAATAGTAGCACCTTCAACTTCAAATACTGAAGAAGTTGCTTCCACGTCTCCGTCGTCCACTACGCCTAGAACTGCTCGTGATAAATTTTTTAAAGATGTCCAATATGATAAAGAAAAGAAGAGATGGTCAGCTGAATGTTTATTATGTGAAACACCTAAAAGAGTTTTCGACGCATTGGGTGTTACTTCAAATTTCAATCGACATGCTCGTGATTACCATACACAAGCTTTTAAGCTATGGCTACAGGAATTAAATGAAGTAAAAGCTATGTCTTCAACGAATCAAAAGAATAAAATATCACAGCATTTTCGCAAAAGAAATCAAGCATCACAACATTCAGCATATCATACAACTCATCCTCGACAAACTGAATTATCGACTGCCATCGTCAACGACTTAATTATTAAATTGGGCTTACCATTATCAATTGTTGAACGGTCAGCATTTATTAATTTCATGAAAACTGTAGATCCAAAGTTTAGCATGACAAGTCGTCGAACATTAAATCGAACCACGATTCCTTCATTATATGAAAAAATGCATGATCGATTAAAAGTGTTTTGTTCATCTGCTACATTTCTGTCATTAGCCTTAGACATTTGGAGTGATAGAAGGTTACGGTCATTTTTCGCTATAACTGGTATGACTTGTTTTAGTTTTAGGAATAATTTATATTTTTTGTCGTTCTTAGGGCACGCCATTGTTAATGGTTGTTTCAAATCATATGTTTTGGGTTTCGTTCCGCTATGGGGTAGTCATTCGGGTTCATTGCTACTTCAGAAATACGAAGAAACTATCAATACATTTGGTATTAAGCACAAGGTTATTCGTTTAGTTACTGATAGTAGTGCAAACAATATACATGCATTTAAAGATCTTGTTATTCCAGGTTTTGAACACTATTTTGATAAAAATGATAACGATAACATGAGTGATGAAGATAGTGATGCTAACTCAAATGACGGAACAGTCAGTGATGAATATGAATACTTACCAAACTTTTGTTCAACAACACCTTATTCTACTACTGATACTGATGCATTAACACAAGAATTTCTTATTCAAGATTCATTTCGTAGTTTATTAGACCACAATGAAGTATTTCGAATTCCTTGTTTTGCTCACACGATACAATTGGTTGTAAGTGATGGATTAAAAGAAACAAAATCAGTTTTATCTTCATTAGAAAAAGTGTCGGCAATTGCAAAACTGTCACATACAAGCACAAAATTTGCAGAAAAATTGGACGCGATGAATTTATCAATACCCCGTGCTGTTATTACACGTTGGAATTCACAATTTTTAACTGTGGAACGTATTTTAGCTATACCTTATATTGAATTAAATGAAATTCTAATCGAATTGAAACATGCGAATTTATGTTTAAATACACGTGATCTAGTTATGCTAAATGAATTCGTTGCTTTGTTATCACTACTTGCTGAAGTAACAATAACTAGTCAACGAGAAAATGCTCCATCTATTTCATTAGTTGCTCCAAGTATTTTGGCGATTTATTTCGATTTAAAAAATGAAAAAAATAACATACAACACACTACAGCACTTTGTGATGCTTTAATATCTTCATTGTTATCACGATTTGGAGGGCTTTTAGAGCAGCTGGAAATTGATATTCGCGAAACAGGCATCGAATTTGAAATTAAAAAACAGTTTTATGATCTGTACAGAGATCCTGTTTTTCTTTTTACGCCATTTCTTGATGGCATGTTCAAACTTAATTGGATTACTCAATCTTATCTTCCTGATTCAGTCAAAGAAAGAATATGTGAAAAAATCAAAAAACTTATTTTTGACCAGGCTGTCATTATTGAACGTGCTAATCAATCATCCGTTCCAGATGATTTAGAACTGATTCAAGAACAACTAGTTCAAATTGTTCAATCGTCAAGTACAAGTGTATTAAAAAGAAAAGGTCTGTTCTCAAATATCCGCAATGATCAGAAATATCCAAAGAAAACCAAATTAAATGATTCAAATATTTATATTAAAGAAGAAATATCACGTTATCTTAATGATATTAACAATGATAGCATGGTGCTCGTGAGAACAACGTCGTCAAATCCTTATACTACATTAACCAAATTAGCTACAAAATATTTATGCATACCAGCAACAACAGCCGCTGTGGAACGAGTTTTTTCTCAAAGTGGTTTCCTTTTTCGTCCTCACCGTGCTCGAATGACGCGAAAAACTCTTCAACAACTCACATTATTAAAATGTAATTGTGACATTGAATCATGATATCTTCAGTTATTCAGTATATAGTATCTTTCTTTGGTTGTTCTAAAGTAAAGTCAGTTTTTTTTGTGATATATTTGTTTATTTGTGAAGTTAAGTCGATTGTTTAAGGTACATTTGTTTCTTTTTGTGAAACTAGATGTATTTGTTCGTGATATATTTGTTTCTTTTGTGAACTTATATCGATTTGTCCTTGTATATTTGTTTTTGTTTTGAAGTTAAATCGATTTATCTTTTTTGTGATACATTTGGTTTGTTTTTTCAGTTTTTTTACTTCTTGTGAAACTGTTGAAAGCTATTTTCCTTTGAAATAGGATAAAAGGATCATTTTCTGATCTTTTATGAATAAAAGAAAAGTTGATGAGAACTGGCTTGGATATTGACTTGACTTGACTTGAATTTTGACTTGACTTGAAAGTTTCTCCTACATGACTTGTTGAATTGACTTGAAATTATTTTAAGCATATCATGACTTGACTTGACTTGACTTGAAATTTTCAAAAAATGACTTGACTTGACTTGAGTCGGAAAAAAGGCTGACTTGCCCATCTCTGATTCCGGGTCGAGGAATCGATGTCGGATCCTCAGTGTCGGAATCCAACGATAATTCTGTAAGATCTGACAGGATCCGATAAAATCCTATTGGATTCCAGTCGGATCGAATGGGTTCCGATAGGTGCCTACTGTCGGATTGGTCGACCCGGGCGAGAATAAAATTTTGTAATTTAAAATCTTGTGTAACATGACGTAGTGCTAAGCCACAATAAGAAAGTCCTAAACATAAAAAAGTCATCAAAGTTACGTGAAAAACTCATCGGATTTCTATTGAACGAGAAAACCAAAATGGCAAATTACCGGTGAAACGTTGAGTCCAAAAATCACAAACGATACAGTAACTTGACATTTTCATAATTACATAAACTTGTCAATTGAACTTTTTTTTCTTCATATAAACGGCTAATGTTGCGGCTTATCTACAATAAGAAATAGATAAAGAAAAAATAATATTCATCAAAAAGAGAAGTTGTTTGTTTACTGTACTTGGAGATGGTATAAGATGTGTAATGTTAACACTTGATGAGTTACTAGTATGTCGACCAGCGTTAAAAATAGATTGTGTCAATTTCATAAAAACCTTCACCAGAAACAACTTCAAATGCTCGACAATCTAATGCTGTAAATTCTGTACAAGCAATTTTCACTTTTTCTTTGATTTTCTTTGGTATAGTCAATGTTTGCGAGGATGCATAATATTCTGTAACCTTTGTTTGTTTGTTTAAA